TATTTTCCTAACAGTATGAGTAAATAGTACTTAGGCTCAGAGATTCAGTTTGATCCCTATTCATTTCTTCGCTCTCAAATGCTTGGTTACTCAAGAATATCCTCTCAAATAAAAGTTCTTTTTCAGGTAATATGTCTTCTGCCTTTCAAATGGATAGTGTCGAGACCGCATTAAAGGATGCTCTGAAAGGTCCCACATACGACGAAGTTCGAAGGATTCTATATGGCAGAGAACATAAGTCAGTGAAACACTTTTAGATCTTCGAGAAAATTGTTGATATGAATGGCCCGTAGAACCCTCTATTCTTTTACTGTTATTTTGGTTCGTGAGATGTTTGGGAAGAGCCAGTGGCTCTGTTTTGATCCCCAGGAAGATATTTTCCGTCCAGACTCGATTCTCGATTGGAGTAGATAGATTTTATAGAGAACTTAAGACGAGTTCCATGTTATGCTAACGCTACTTTTATGATATCTTTCTTGACTCAGGTCCAAAAAAAGAAGAGATCATCTCCACCCTAATTCTAGTGTCCTTAAAGTTATCGGTTTACATTTCAGAGAACTTGAAGTTCCGAAAGAGGCTCAGGATATCGCCAGCAAGAACAATTTTGATTTGAAAGCCTATGAAGTGCTCGCTAAAGAGGAAGAGCAACGAGCTCCAAGGAAGGTATATGTTTTGTTAAGCCTGAATCTCCTTGAGCGGAATTCTTTCCAATTGTTCCCTGATTCCTGAATGAGTCGGCCCTTTTTTCAACTAGCTGGAATCAAAAAAGGGACAACGTTGAAGCTACTCGAGTGCAAATCCAGGCGCTTCAGTACGAAGATTCACAAACTTCGCCTCCTACTATTGCCGTGCAATCTTCGAGGGAACTCCCGACATGTACACCAGTGCACTTTACTGGACGAACAGTTTTAATTTTTAATCAATTTCAGGTAAGGATAGCAGCAATACAATTTTCCATTGTGCTCCCTACGACGGCACCGGTAGAGGAGCAAAGAAAAGCGATCCACAACAAGGCATCCAAAATGATCGACGCTGCTGTTCTTGCAGGGGCCAATATGATCTGTTTCCATGAGCTCTGGAGTCAGTTGCTTATGAGAATCTTTTGATATGCAGATCAATTATAGCTGGATCTTTAAGCAATGCCCTTCGCATTTTGCACTCGTGAACGACTTCCATG